TTCAAATTTTAACTGTGAAGAAGTAAACTTTTTCAAATTTTACTCCCCTCAAAGTACCAACTGGAGAAAATTCGTGATTTATAGAGTTGCTACTCGAAGGAATTAGTCCAGTATTAAAACAATTATAGTGTATACAGATAAAAAAAAAAGCCCACATCATGGTAAAACCAATAGGGTCGCCTGTGCTCTGCATCGAAGCTAAAACATGCAATAACAAATTTTTATTAATTTTGAATTAGTTTTTAAACTGAATAATAAAGTTTTTTTGAAAATTACATTTATTTATTTACAAATTCAGGTGAAAACTCTTAATTTCAGACATAGGATAGGGCACCATGACACAATTACCTTTTTGCCATCAATAGCTGTTAATCTCAAGGATGTAAGATAATCAATTTGATTGACATCTAGAGGACATTAAGTTAAGCAGAACATCTAGTTCTGACAACATGTTCCAGTTTATTTTAACACCCTATCAAACAAGTTTTCACATTTCCATGTCTTAGCTCTGGCACATAACCGAAAAAACGGTTAGTCACAAAAAAGGGTTTTATCTGATAAGAGATTAGAGATTAGTGATGAGAGATGGGGTTGGGGTGGGGGCTGGAATGGGGATGCGGTCGGGGATGGCAATGAGATTGCGGATGAGAATGGGGTTGGGGGTGGAGGTGGACGTGGTTTGCTCTGGCACATGATATCCTTGATGATGGCTCTGATATCCTTCTAATGATGAGTAGCATTTTACACTGATATAACGGCTATTTAGCAATCGATTAGGGCCTTACTTCGAATGCCTATTGGTTTATTTGACATTGTTATGGTATAGATTTTATACAAGCGTTTGTCAGAGTTTCGTTCCAAAAAAAAAAAACAAATAACATAAAATCAAAGGCTATCATTCAAACTCACGCTGTAAAAACAAGAATATTTGAATAACCGTTTGCATGTTGTTGTGATCATGCACGCGGCAAAGAAGTACGTACACCAAATCCATGTTTGCTGACAACTTTTAAGGCGTCAAAGTCATTCATTTTTTTTTAGGTAAAACAAATAGAAATTGTGTAGCGTTGTTTTCGTATTTTATACTGTTCACACTGGATTAAGACTTCGATTCTTTCGAAAGTGGTTTCTTAGTAAAAATACAAAAATTCTATATTCGCGAAAATGTCGTTTAAATTCATTTTTATAACAACCATTATTATGGTTATCTACAGCTTAAAAAAGGCGTCTACCACTATAAGCATTGTTGAAGAATATGAGGAAGTCGAAGGCAATAATTTGGATCCTTACGTTCGTGTTCAATGTAGCTACATATTAAGTGCTCAAATTTACATGGCGCTGATCGAGGATTTGCTTGAAAATAAAGATAAGTTGGCGAATATTCCTGAAGGTAAAATTCTATCGTATACCAAACAAGCTGCTAAAATCAATGCGACCTTCCATAATGTCATTGGGATGCAGAATACTGGTTTACAGAACGTAATGTGGATATTTTCAGCGTACGCCGAGCGAGTACTGGTGTATATGGAATCGGTCATAAAAAAAGTCCCGGCCGAAGATCAAGAAAAAATCTTATCCATTCACTATTCTGTAGATTTATTTCTCTATATACACATGGAATCTGACGTCTGCGTTGATTATAATGAGGGCTTAAGGTTGGACGCCGTGAGAAATATTAAAGATTCGCAGGTTCGATTGGCCACTCTCGAAACTAAGACATCAGTTTTCATGCAGCGAATAGACATAAACGCCAACGATCATGATATCAACACCACCGGGCACGAAAAGATTAATTTGAACACGTTGAGTTTGAACGGACTGCTGGCGGACATGGAAGCGACTAAACGAGTTTTGGAAATTTCTGGAGTAGAGCTAAATTGGGACCAAGTGTTGCAGAATTTAAAAAGAGTTCGTGATCTGGGAACGCAAGCCAACGGCACTAAATTGAGTGAACAGATAATGTCCTTGAAAACATTTCATGACGAGTTTGCTATGATGGTAAAAGTAATCATAATTCGTCTGATGCTTAAGTTCGTATACATTACGAAGGGTAAAGACGTTAACTGGAGTGAGAGTGAAATGGCACTTAATATAGTCGAGTTAGAGAACTATTTAGGTCCACAAGATGAAATGGATTACCTAAAAAACATGGTTAAAAATGACACTGAAAATTTACTAGGCCAGATGCAAACTATTGCCTTTATAAGTATATATTTATCCAACTTAGCTTTTCCATATAACGATCCTAATTTGTGCAAATTTGATAAACAACAAGAGTTAACAGATTTTCAACAAGACGCAAATCGTTTCGTCAACACTTTCAAAGCCGCTTTACCTTATACAAACTTCAGTATAATTAAGACATTTAGACAACTTACGTCTACAGATGAATTCCAACAACTAGTATCGTGTGAAAAAACTGTGGATATAGTAGATTTAATGGCACCACATAATACGTCATTAGAAGATACTGGTTAAAATATAATAACTAAAGCCAGCTAGGGCGCATAGGTTTGCTGTAAAATTATAATAATGATACAAAAAACAATTGTCGTATTGTTCTAGAATAAAATTTAATTCTTTACTGTACTATTTTTGCTTTTCATTTTAATTATGTCAAAAATATCTATAAAAACTGTAATTATGACTAATGTACATTAGTTTATAACATAATAAAGTGTAACATTGGTAAAATACGCATATTTTTCTTGTTCATTTTTTGTTTGACAGTAAGAAGAACCTCACTCTTTTTTTCAATCGTAGGTTGTGAGTAACACTTGGTACTATTAACATTGATGTTGGTGATCACCAAAAGATGTATTATTTTGAACAAATTAACAAATGCAAACTGTACTAAGAACGAATGTGACATGTGGATTAAGATAGATGCCACTAGAGCATTGAATTAAAAAAAAATTAGAATTTCATCTTTTAGTTAAGTTGTAATCATTGTTACACATATATCGACAATGACAAATTGTATATATATATAATTTTTTTTTTTTCACAGGTTAAAATCCTCAGTTACAGAAATTCGGTAGTGCACCATGACATAACTGTTTTGTAGTCATTAGTAGTTAATCCCAAAGATGTAAGATAATACATTTCATTGAGGAGGTTAAGTTAAGCAGAACAACTAGTTATTACAATAGTAACAATACTAAAAAATGAGTCGCATGACGAATTTTTACCAGATTTTTCCTAATGCATAATGGAAAAATTCACCATATACATATTTTGTTGAAATATGACTTTACGACAAACAATCGAAAACATAGATTTAAACCGTAATTTATTCATAAATTTATTTTTATACAACATTTTTTGAATAATGACACATTTCAATGTCAATTTTATTTTAATGCCAACACAAATTTAGGGTGTTTTGGTCTATTATAGTTTATGTATACATTTTAAAGCGATTAATCTAGAAAGATTTTAACACGCGTACTTAAGGTCAATACATAGTATACAGGGTTACTATCGGAATGTATGTATTTAGATGTTACACATTTTGTATGTTCAAAATATCAGTTCTTTAAATTCGTTACTTCAAAAAAAAGAAATAAAAATAAAAATATAATAGAAAATGTACGCATAAACTGACTTGTTTTGACAGAACAATGAAAGCCATATAAATGATTATTGTTATTTTTATATATTGTACTATCACAACAATTACAACAATAGACTTTTAAATACACGGTTTAACATGTTTCGTTCAATTCTTAATAATATTGTAAAAATGAATTTTTTTCCCTCATGTCGATTCCTAGGATAAACCCAATACTTAGTTATCTATTGAAACAAAGACAAAACTTCCTTGGGTTGTTCCTATCTCCCTAAAGTTCTTCGAGTGCTTTCTTCTCGTATAGTCTTATTTGTCTTCTAATTGTCTTATTTGCCAGCTCCTTGAATTGTTTATATCTCCCTTGATTTTTTTGCGATGGATTGTGTATCATTTGCATGCGAGCCTCGTTACGCTTCTTTACTGCTTCTATACACTCATTATTGAACATTTTTTTGTACTAATTGATGTAATAAGAAACATATGATGCCATTAAAAAAAAAAAAAATTTCTCCTTTTTGAGGCTTATAATGATTGGTGACCAAAATTTTCAAAATATAGTACAATGTGTACCAAAAAATCTTGGAAAACATTTTTTAGCCGAGTCTGCAACCACGATAGAGCATTTACATGTCTCGTTGAAGTACCGAGATAAATGTATAGTAGTAGTGGAATTATAAATAATGATATAGTATATTAAGAAGCAGTAATCACCCCTATCTTCCACCCCTATCTCCCATCCTTATCTCTTATCAGAAAACAGCGTAACGCTTTTTTCGATATAATTTTTTCAGTTATGTGCCAGAGCTAATTCCCACCCCCAACCTCATCTTCATCCCCATTTCTTTTTTGGTAACGCATTTTTCGTTATAATTTTTTCAATTATGTGCCATAGCAAAAACATGTAAATGTCAAAAATATTGCACAAAATATTAATATATTCTGAGAAAATGAGTGTGTTATCTTTAATGAATAACCCTGTATACAATATATCATATTATAATATGGCATACGGAAAAGTCAACATTCAACGGTACTCACTTTTAGTAGGTAAATAATAAGCATGTTTTATTTTCGGCTAATAGTTACAATTTTCTAATTTATATGGTAAGCCTTCTTTCTATGAGTAACCTTAGGGCTAAAATTGCTTCACTTTTACCAATTCCCTGTCTAAAACAGAATTAATCTTCATCGAGCTCTTCTTCGTTTTTATTCTTTATTCTATTTTGACATTTTCATGATTTAGATCTGGCACATAACCGAAAAAAGTTTTACTAACAAAAAAACCGTTACGGACACGGAGAAGGGGTTGGGGGTGGGAATAGAGTCAAGGGTGAGAATAGGGTTGGGGTGAGAGTGGTGGTGGTTTGCTTTGGCACATAACCGAAAAAACCATTACGCTGTTATCTGATCTTATTTCAAATAACTTATACTAGGTATCTTTTCCGACGTTTTTTAATAATTCTGCAGGGATATCATCTACTTCTGCCACTTTACCTTGTGTCAATTCACTTAGTGATTTAACTAAGTTAAATTCTTATACTATATGTGTGTAAAAAGGTTTCTCACCTGTGAGTGTCATCATGTGGTTTTTAAGATGTCCTATTTCGGAAAATGTCCTTTTACATATCTCACATTAAAAAGCTTTCTCGCCCATATGTGTTATTTTCTGCATTTTTCAAACTCCAGACCGTGAAAATGCCTTCTTGCATATGTCACATTGAAAAGATTTCTCGCCCGTGTGTGTCATTTTGTGTCGTTTTAGGTGTCCAGAAAGTGAAAATGTCTTCTTACATATCTCATATTGAAAGGGCCTCTCACCAGTATGTGTCATTTTGTGTGTTTTAAGATTTCCAGACCGTGAAAATGTCTTCTTGCATATCTCACGCTGAAAAAGCCTCTCGCCTGTGTGTGTCTTTTTGTGCTTTTTTAATTCTCCAGATCGTGAAAATGTCTTTTTACACATCTCACATTGAAAAGGCCTTTCACCAGTATGTGTCCTTTTGTGAATTCTAAGAGTTCCATCATGTGAAAATGTCTTCTTACATATCTCATATTGAAAGGGCCTCTCACCAGTATGTGTCCTTTTGTGAATTCTAAGAGTTCCATCATGTGAAAATGTCTTCTTACATATCTCATATTGAAAGGGCCTCTCACCAGTATGTGTCATTTTGTGTGTTTTAAGATTTCCAGACCGTGAAAATGTCTTCTTGCATATCTCACACTGAAAAGGCCTCTCGCCTGTGTGTGTCATTTTGTGCTTTTTTAAATCTCCAGATCGTGAAAATGTCTTTTTACATATCTCACATTGAAAAGGCCTCTCACCAGTATGTGTCATTTTGTGTGTTTTAAGATTTCCAGACCGTGAAAATGTCATCTTGCATATCTCACACTGAAAAAGCCTCTCGCCTGTGTGTGTCCTTTTATGCTTTTTTAAATCCCCAGATTGTGAAAATGACTTCTTACACATCTCACATTGAAAAGGCCTTTCACCATTATGTGTCCTTTTGTGAATTATAAGAGTTCCATCACGTGAAAATGACTTCTTGCATATGTCACATTGAAAAGGTTTCTCGCCAGTATGTGTCCTTTTGTGTCGTTTTAGGAGTTCAGAAAGTGAAAATGAATTCTTACATATATCACATTGAAAAGGTTTCTCGCCAGTATGTGTCCTTTTGTGCTTTTTTAAATTTCCAGAATGTGAAAATGTCTTCTTACATATCTCACATTGAAACGGTTTCTCGCCAGTATGTGTCCTTTTGTGTCGTTTTAGGAGTCCAGAAAGTGAAAATGAATTCTTACATATATCACATTGAAAAGGTTTCTCGCCAGTATCTGTCCTCTTGTGCTTTTTTAAATCTTCAGAAAATGAAAATTTATTTTTACATATCTCACATTTAAAAGGTTTTTTGAACATATGTGTCTTTATGTGGTTTTTAAGATATGTTAATCGTGCAAACGTCTTTTTGCATATATCACACTGAAAAGGCCTCTCAGCTGTATGTGACCTTTTGCGCTTGGTTATATTTCCAGTTGAAATTGTCTTTAAACCGAATTCGCACTGAAATGGTTTTTCGACGGTGTATTTTTTAATTGATCTGAATGGAGTTTCTTCAGTTTGAATTTTATTATATTTCATTGAACTGTTGAGTGTATTGCTAATAAAAAAATAATAAAAATATGAAGATAATAACTGAATAGTAGTCAATCTGTAATGAAACGTTATCCATTTTTATCCAATTCTTACTTAGTACAATGAGGATGCAAATCTTCGTACTTGATAACTGTTAAATCTTGGTTTTCTTCAATTTTTATCTCAGATACAAAAAAACAATCATTCCCGATTTCGTCAGCCTCCTGTTTAATTGCAGTCATGGTCTTTGGTTTTTGAACTGACATTTCTTTTTTTTTAATGCTTGTTATATCGATAACTGATCCAACAAAACTTTAAAAAACAAATAAAACAAATTATACAACAAAACTCTTTACATTTATAACAAAAAATAACAAACACAAATATTTAGATTATTCATTTTCAATTTCTTTAAAGCCGATGCACTTTTAGCAATTAATTAAGAATTTTTTCTTTCATTGTAACCTTTGTTAAAATGTAGTTTTGTAAGTGGAGTCATGGATCTTTTTTTCCCGGGACGTTTTATATGTATACTATATTGAAGTATATATCATGTACGGCCCAAACACCAAATATGAACGAACATTTGGACCACCGATTTTTTTAAATTACACTATATATGAAAACAATGTTATCGGTTATTTTGGCCATAATCGTAAAAAGAATTTGTCTTAAAACCTCTTTTTATAAAAAAAATAGTTAAAAATAATTTTCTTGTGTAAAATAACCTTAGCTTTCTGACAAAAACATTCTTAAATTTTGGGCAACAAAAACAAAACACCTTTTTAGATTAAAAATTAAATTTTAATGACTTTTTTTAACGCGAAAAGAAAAATCCACATGGCCCAAATAATCAAAAAAAAAATTCTTAAAAAATATTTTTATCGTAACAGACATGCTGTATAATTTTCATAACAATCGGCGGAGGTGGTCCAAATAATCATTTATATTTAACGTTTTTACATAAGTTTATATATATGTACTTTTGTATTCCCGAAAACGATAACAATGATTGCGTGGTCGATATAAATCAAATATTACTCAGTCCCCCCAAAAGTGACGACACTAAAATTGCACTTACGCAGTAGAGAGAGTATTCACATATTCGTCTTTGACAAGTGCTATATCTTGATTTTCTTCAATTTGTATCGTAGATTTGAAATATTAGTCATTATCCACTTCGTCGACCTCCCATTTGTTAACAACCATGGTGTTTGGTTTACTACCAATAAAAAACAGCTTTTGTAGAGTAGTTATAAGGTTATATATTGGTGTCTCCCAAAATATATTTTTGAAGTTTGGGTCGAAGTGAATCCTTGTTGTAAAGTATATGTAAAGCAGTCATAAGGTTTTACGCTTACATTACATCAATATAAATTATAAAAAAAAAATCGTTCATATCTTTAAAAACTATACATTTTTGCCTTCAAAAGTTTGTGATAGCTTGTAATGTGTGATAAGGTTCATTTACACCTTATTACATATAATACTAGTAATGTTTTGTTCATTTGTAATCAAATTATTTGTGTTTCATTTTACTAAGTCCAAAGAAATAAAGATAAATTTAATTATTAGATATACAAAAGTATGAAAAATAAATGTCTAAATACTTATACTATTTACTGTGTAAGACTTAAACAGTAGAAAGTGGCACTAAATTTGTTAAAATTAAATAAGAACTGCTTTTGAGTTTTGGTTCATTAACTTATTACAAAAACTAAAAAAAAATAATTAGAATCTATCAATATAATGATGTAGTTTGTAATATATAAAGTAAACCCATATAATTTTTTTATTAACTTTTACTTACACACATTTTTAAAATAAAACTAGTTAATATAATATTATCAAAAACGATTCTTTTAAATTGAAAAAAATAATATATTTGAATAACTTTTTATATACATTTATCTACATAAAAAATAAAAAATAACCATAATTTTTATTCCAGCATAATTTAATATTAATCTACTTTTTTTGTAGTTGATATACTGTTATTTCGAGTATAACGTAAAAATAAAAAAACCAGTACAATGGGGTCGGTGCATAGTGGGAACGGAACATAGTTGGGTCGGGGCATATTGGGGACGGGGAGGTTACAGGTTTACAGGAGTTTTTAAATCTGAAAGTGATAAAATCACTTTCGAAAAAACGCTTCGATGCAAATCGGTAGTTAGTATTTTCAAGCCAGCACAGTCCAAACCAAGCACAGTATAAACCAGCAAAGTTAGAAATTCTTAATTGAAGGTTCTGTATTTACAAATGAGCATCAAAGCGTTTATTTGAAACCGATTTTATCCGAGAGGACTAGTACAGTAGAGTATTGGCATAATGTAATCAAAGCAATGAGGAAACGGAGAGGTCACAGGTCTACAAGAATTATTATAAATAAAAGTGATAAAATTGAATAAATTCGCTTTCAAATAAACGCTTTGATGCTCATTTGTAAATACAGAACCTTCATTTAAGACTTTCTAACTTTGCTGGTTTATACTGTACTTGGTTTGGACTGTACTGGCTTGAAAATACTAACTACCGATTTGCATCGAAGCGTTTTTTCGAAAGTGATTTTATAACTTTTAGATTTAAAAATTCCGGTAAACCTGTGACCTCCCCGTCCCCAATATGCCCCGACCCAACTATGTTCCGTCCCCACTATGCACCGACCCCACTGTACTGGTTTTTTTTTTTTTGCAAAAACTTAGTGGACCAAATAACACATATACAATGACTTGTTATATTGTATTGGAATGGTCGACGATTCATGTTCCAATCGTTTGTACTCCATAGTTTAAATTATAATCGCTTATTCTCAATAAAATTAATATTTATGTATTATATACTTCCATTAAAGCAATCTCACACAAACTATTTATACTTCATAGATTATATTATTTCAAAGCTATATTATACTTCTATTTTACTAGATTGACAATGTACAAAATAAAATGCAACTAAAAAAACCTTTTCATAGATCCTTTGTAACGTGTCTGCTTGGCTAGTTGGCTAGGCTAGGCCGAAACGACAGTCGATAGGGTTAAATTAGTGGACCCGAAGACGGGACGGATGGCTAGGCCGTATCTACACTTAAATATCCCTAAAGTCTCCTTTGTATATTTGCTATATCGCCTGAGGAGCTTAACAGGCGATCGTACCTCTAAATAACTTAACTCTCAAGTGTGCAACGAAACGAAAACAGGTTTATTAAATAAGTAAAGCTATGTACATATATATTACACCTCTACCTGGATCCTAAAGCGTTCTCTGTAGTTAGTCCAGGTAATGGCGGAGTTGAACGGACACACGAGTACGGGTAAAGTTAAAAGAAATATAAAATAGTAATGTAACGTGAAATATAGGTAATGGCTTTAGAATAATTAGGTCGCGGTCCGAAGATGGTAGTATGTCAACTAACTGGGCATCGGTGCCCCTGGCATTGTCCCGTGTGTCTGTTGTCTCCCCTACCTATAATGGCTTACATGCTAATCGGGCTAAACTGCCAATAATGCATATTTGGAGGCGAGTGGTAACGGGCGGCTAAATGTGACCGTTACAGCTGCTCCTCCCCTAATGAGGTCTGACCTCAGACCTAAGTTATACAAATAAAAATAGGTACTAAGAAAAATAAATAAGATATGTACAAATACCCTGAAAATAAAGGTTCCTATAGGTTGGTTTAAATTAATTATGATTTAAAGGAGGGCCACCTGTACTCTTATTTTGACCTTTGGTTAATTTCGACGATCATCCATCCCTTATCTTGTCGTTTTTATTGAAAACTTGAAAGGCCATCGCTCGACGAAAACATCCAACCTAGCTTCTCGCCTTTCTTGAAAAGACTTGTAGGTCAACCCTCTATAAAATGAATAGTGGTGTTCTCAAGGTCTTAATAAGCTACTAGTGGTTGTCATATTCTATTCCACATAAAAAGGTAATATGGGAAAAGCATGGGCTACATTGTATTGTTATTGTTTAAAATATTAAGTTGGCTAAGCTACGCATACAAGAAAACTCAAAACAACTATAAAAGAAAAATTCATTGTCTGTTTATCTCACAATATATATGTGTAATTACGTTAATCCTAATGATAATGATGAAAAACGTTGCTAAAAATCATTTATCATATACATTCATTATCTTAAGTTAAGTTGATACCTCTGCGTGCTTAAAAAAAAACTACTTCATTTAAATTATACAAAATAAAATAATAATAATCGTAAAATAAAATAAATTTCATTAAGTGTTTATAAAAGAAACAGAAAAGAAGACTAACAGAGAAACGCTTAGTAGTCGAAAAAATATCGGACCCAGGGTAATTTACGCGACGATAAAAAAAAACAATAATACCCTTGACCTTAAAAAAAAAAAAAAAAAATTGAAGTCGCTTATCTTGCGCGTTAAGTTTAGTCAGTAGGTCAAGTTATATTTATTTTTTTTAAATTACTTATACATAATAAATGAAAATGTCTTGTGTTAGTAAATTTGTCGTGAAAACGACAGTTTTAATTACAATAGTTTTGAATTATTTGTTGATCTGTGTACCATTTGGGTGCCTGCAACTCATTTAGTTATTAAAACATGTGCCGTAAAACAATAAAATATATGTATACATTTAAATAAGGTATGTTTATGAAATATCAAATTGCATTATTTATTATTCTTAATATAAATGTTATTTTTAAAAGTATATCCTTTAGATTTTATTATTATAAAATGAGTAATCATTATTTATATAAGTTCTATCACAAAAAAAAAAAAAAAAAAAAAAAAAAAAAAAATGTCAATATTGTTTCATACGTTAATAATATATTAAATAAATATTCGCTAAAATTACCACGATGGATAATTATTATTTATTTATTTTTTATATAATAGAATAGTACACCAACCTACTTAAAACGGGGTACAGATAATTTGCTGAATATCATATTCATTTCAATTCAACGCGAGATAGATAAAGTAAAATTATGTAGTAAATAAGTTTAAAAATGTTGCCCTAAAATGTCATTATAAACGCGATAAAGTAAAAACACAAATTTAATATTATACAAATCAATCAAACATGAAAAAACTTCCGTTATCAAATGATAAATATATCCACTTCATAGGTGGTGTAAAAATAACAAAAATGTCGTATTATATATGTAAATTCGTGACAAAATTGGTAAGTGCCGTTATTAGTACGAGATGCCGTTTTTAATAAATACATCGGTAATTCATTCCGTGATATTCGGAGACAAAAGCCGTAAAAAATTATATAAATCG